CCTCCCCGCGGCCGAGCCGGAGCCGCCTCCCCCCGCGCCGCGCACGTGCTCGGCGCCCGCGTTCCCCGTTCCCGCCTCCTCGCCGCGCGTGCGCAGTGGGCAGAGCCCGCGAGCCCCACGGGCCTCGTGTCTGTCGTTACTCCCCTCGTGGTGCAAAATAACGAGATTGGCTTTTCCGTTTGGGAAATTCCCCCCACAAAACTACACACCACTGAGGTGATACGTGCAAAAGCCCCCAAGCACAAGCATTTAAAGATGTCACAAAATTTGCACTGTCCTCAAAAGAAYGCGTTTCTGTCTCGCAAGTAATGGTTCTGCAATGGCTTGAAGTAAACTGTCACTGCTAGGCTGGTGTTCTTGCGATGTTGTGACCTCAAAAGGTCTCTAAAAAATCAGCATCTTGGTTCTACGGCCAAAACACAGTCACTGCTCAGATGGATCTGACGGAGCAGACGGATCTGAGGTCGGCTACGCTCCCGCCTGGCCTCCCAGAGCACTGGGGTGCGCACGCAGAAAAGGCAGGGGCTGGCAGGAAAACAYGAACTTCCAAGATGCCACATGGCATTTCTGTGCACAGGAACACAACACGCAGTCGAGACCGGCAGATGAAAACATGTTCTGAAGGCGGCTAATACCCCCAGCAAAAGGACAGCGGGGAGCACACTGCTTATCAAAACATCTTAACMTGGGACAGGTCAAGATGGATAAAAGGCTTCTGGCATTTAATACAGTAGCTTATGCCTTTTCGAGGACAAAAGCCTTAGCTTTTGTGGGTTTCGGTTAAGTGTTACACCGCTGTGCCCAATTATGCCCTAATAAACAAAGGTTATTGGTGGTAATAGTGCAGAAGTGAGGCATATCGTGTCCAACTGAAAGAAAACCCAGACAGAGCCCAWCTCATTAATCAAACTCCAGCTGAGTGCAGCACTGGGGCGAGCATCTCTAGTCCCTCAGAACTGTTTTTCTTAATGAACACAAGCATTTGGCATCTTTCCTTTTGATCACAATTGAAAGGCAGGAGTCTGTGCCCTTAATTTCCTGGTAAAGATGACACAAAGTCAAACCACCACAGGATCCTGGCTTCTGCCTGGAAGATCCTCTGATCAAGCACCAATAAAATCTAACCTTGCTTAGCATGGGAAATCAAGAAAACCAGAGCAACAACAAAACATTGCCAGAGGATCATTCTGTTCAGTTTATTTTCATTGATGTTCAATCTCCTTGAGGAAGGTTTTTGATGTGAGAGCTTTGGACAGTTTTCCAGACCAAGATTCATTTTTTTCTCCAATAGCTAGATGAGCAAGATGCCTTTTCAGTCTACTACTTATTTGGTTTGGGATGAGGACTTTCCTTTTTTATATGTATGTTCTTGTTTGTAGAGACAGATTAGTTTGCTTTCACCCCCCAGGAATAAAACTACTTTATAATCAAAATCCAAAATGACAAAGCTAAATTTGCTGAATTTTAAACACACATCTGCTTGCAATGTGTAAACCACTAAATAGAATTGTTCTGAGTTAGTTTCATGTTGTTCAGAAGGAAATAYAACTTTATTGCAGGAAAAATATGCATAACAAATTGCATGCTGAATACATTAGGAAATATGCTAGTTTTCATCTCTGTATTGTTAATATAAAACCTAGTTAGGCTTCAATGAGATGTTTTAAAAGTTCCTACCCAGTACTACATTGGTCATTAATATTCTACTGTGATAGCTGTATACTAAGCATCTTTTTTTCTCTTGACAGGCTATAAAAAATGTACTACTCAGGTACATTTAGGTAATAATGTGATGTACTACCATTTGCACATATGCTGATGGAATTATAACCTGTATTGATTGTCAGACAATCTCAGATTTTTTTTTTCTGGTATAAATGTAAGCATATTTCATTCAAAGCAATTAACACAGCTGGGAAAAAACTTTTTTTTTTTTTTCTCCTCAGTTTTTTGATACCTCTTCTTCATGTTGGAAATTTTCTATAATTTATTTAATGCCAAATATTCAAAACATATCCAAAGGTTTGAACACTTACCTATAAAGGAGCATTTTTAACAGGACTGCATTCACTTTGTGGTGATCCCAAGGAACCCCTGTCTTCTGGGGCAGACTCACAGCTCCACAACCTTGTGTATTCCAGGATATAAATCTATAATTTTCCCCAATCAAGCAGAGCAATAAAACAGCCTCTGCTTCTGTTATTTAAGTAGTAGTGAGAAAATAATTATCAGGCAGAGAGCTTTAAGATAAACAACCAACCTTATCTAAAATCCCCTCTCCCAAAGGTAACCTGGAAAGCCCTGTTTCTTCACATATGCCACTTCATGCCTCATCCAGACAACTCCCAGAACTGCCCTAGTCTATGTTCTGCATTCCTTTGTAAAATCTGCTGTTTTTTTTTTTATTTTTTTTTAATTTATTTTTTATTTTTTTTATTGCTGTTAATACTGAGCTTTTTCCTGATCTACCATAATACTAAGAAAGACCTGGCAAGCATTTGTGGAGATGTGGCTTATCTTAACTGTTCCTTTCCCTTCCTGCTTGTCTTTCCTGACAGCCCCCATTAAGCTATACAACTATATTCAAATGTAAACATCTCCTACTAGCCGTGTCAACATAGCATTATTCATGAATTTCTGAGCAGCTCCAAAATCAGCACAGCAGGAGACTGGAAGGTCATTTTGTACAAGAAGAGAACAGAGGCAGGACTGTAACCTTCACAAAAAGCAATTCTTTTCTACTTAAAATTACACACTTTAGTTGTCATTTAATCTGTTTTCACTCTATCGCTAACCACATATTACTACCATATGATTAGACTAGCATTCTTTAATACTATATAACATCCTTTTAATTCTAATAGACACCTTTACAATTTTCAATAAATAAAATTCATTCACAGTATTAAGATCTAAATTTTTGAGAATTTGCACAGAAACCCTGTGAACTCAAGGATCAAGGTTCCCCCTCCATGGAGTTATCATAATATTTCCCATTTTGTATTACACACATTTAAATCCTCTTTATCAATTATAAGGCTATTTTAGACACTCTTAAATTACCAAGATTAAATTGTGGCATTTTTCCAGCAGGAAGACTTCAACCGAAGCTCAGACACTATTAGCTAATGGGGAGTGAAGGCAGACAAACCAGCTGCTGCAAGACACTTTGCTTTTGCATTTGATCATCCTTTTCTTGGTTCATGGCCAAAAACAATCATGTAGGTTTAGCAAAGGATAACAAAGTTCAGTGGCAGTCTCAATTTTGATTACTTCTTTCTTCTATCTTAATTCTGAAGATGTAGCAGTTTAAAGAGGCTATTCAAGCTATACCTTCAGTCATGTCACCCCTTACTCCTTTCTTGAACAACTAATACTTTTCTTACCACAATGACATTTTGTATAATGTACTGCAATATAGTAACTTCAAAAGATGACGTATGGAGCTTTTTCCATAATTAGCAACACTTTATTGAGTAGCAATTTAATCTTTTTTTATTATTATTACTTAGTCTTACACTGACTTCTACAAGGCAATTAATTATTCTTGGCTCTTGAGATATGGCCAGCTAAATATCAACTAAATTTTTCTGTCTCCCTGCCTTCCCTGAGGAATGTCTTTTCCTGGCAAACTTCAGGGATGTGCCATTATCATGCACAGCAGAATTAATCCACCATCTTTCAGTAACCTTAAGTTACTGAATTGAAAATGCAGTTCCCTTGAGTTCCAGGTGCTGGGCTGAGATTCCTTTACCTGATGTGTCATGTCCTGTCTTCAAAGAGTGAACAGTATGTACCAGAAATGACTTTAGTAATTTAGGAAAAAATAAACCATATCTTCCCTGTTTCCCATACACTTGTCACATTCAAATGACAAGTCAACTAGAAAAAAAACCCAGAATACTAAGGCTATGTTATATTCTATATACACACTGAAGAATCCAACTTTATTTGAATGGCTCAAACTGCTTCTGGCCTAACAGTCCCTTCAATACAAGGTTGCTTTTTCACATTTAAAACATGCTAAGTCTCCTACATACAGTTCAGCACAAGATTTACAGACCAATTATTAAATATTTAGTGTACAGCTGTCAAATGACTATTCTGGATTGAAAACCGAGTCCACGTCAGGATCTGTATGACTGCAATGCAAAGTGGAACCAGACAGATCAAATAGAACATGGCATCATGAAGACCTAAAAACAAACTGGTGAACAAGATGAAAAGACAACTTTCAGGATGAAGTAACACACAAAAGGTTAATTTTAAGATACCGCAAATGCAAATGAATTTAAAGCAATATAACCCAATTATAGAGCAGGACTTAAAAAAAATGCTTAGTAAGCCTGAAAAAAATGGAAGGGAAAGAAAAGCAGGAAATAGAGGCAAACATTAGGATATGAAACTATTTCAACTATATTATTCCTATCAAACATTTGCTAATGAACTGTCCACAAAGTATGTTCCTGTAGCTGCTAAGTGCTATGTAGAAGTCGTGATTAATGCATGAAACTCAGTTATGGTGTAATGGGCTTTTAAAAATATTCAGACTAATTTCATTTATTATTTTAAAATAAATGATTACAAGAAAATTTAAACTATAAAAACAATAGAAGTGAAATTAACACTGAGACTCTTTTCTGTTCCCATGGATGCATGTTATTTTCTGGTCTAAATCTTCTCTAAGGAATAACAGATAAAAGAGCACATCAAGGAATGAAGCAGGAGAACATACGAGCAAAATAAATCCTTTTTTTATGAATAATCTGGTTTCTGACAGCTCCAAGTATTCATTTAGGCATTCAGCTAGTAGCTGGAATCATTATCTACTGGAGTTCTGTTAATTATTGGATTGCAATTATTTAAATATCAAGAAAGTGAGCTCAAGCTGAGAAACAGCCTTGTAATGAACTTTCTCTCCGAGACACAGTTTAAGTTTTTTTTTTTTTTTTTTTTTTTGGCATTCAGGAATGAGATTGGAGACTCACAGAACAGCTATGGTCATGRTCAAAAAAAAAAAAAAAAAAAAAAAAAACCAGTGCTAATAACTCATTAACTTGAAGAGGCTTTTGAATAAAATCTAAGGGTTGCTTGGAATGATAAAAGACTTAATCCACCTCTCATTGCACTTATAAAATCTCTCGCCACTCCCAACATAAATCAGATTTATTCTTTAGTACATATACACACTCAGACAACAATCAGCTTTCATCTTACACCCTGCACTTGCTAATCCTAAGGAAGAAAACACAACCTCACAGGGTTACAACTGAACAAATTAATAGCGGGAGCAATTGGATTTAAGAGCGGAACTGCTCGCTAGCAGGGCACAGGTCCATAGCACAGATTAATTGGCAGTGACCATCACTTATCACTYGGAGGCTGTTCACTGGCCTGCAGGCAATTGCAATTTCAGTGCATCTCCAAGTAAAGGAGGGCCTGTGTCCTGSGCGGCCACCACAACTGCCACTAGTCTCCTGAGCGAGCAGGGTCAGCAGGGAGGCCAGTGATAAGTGATTATCTAAAGATTATCTTTAGATAGTGATTAGCTAAAGATGAGGGCAAGATCAAGGCTCAGGTAACAGGATGCTGGGGCCTGCGCTTTGTCTGCTCAGACTGAAGTTTTCCATACCAAAATTCTTGCATACACAGACATCAAGGGGGACAAAGTAGAATGAACATCAGCCAAATCACTGAGTTGCACTGGTGCAACCTTAATTTGGTTTTASCAGAGCAATAGTGGTCTGAGAAATTAATATTACTGAAGAGTTATCATGATCTAACTTCATAGTGAAGAATGAGTTTTAAAAGATCATTTTTTGGGCAGATAACTGCAATTGCAGTGGCTCTCCAGGAGAGGGAGATTTTAAACTATGTATCTTTTCCATGAAAGGGAGAAAAAAATCTAGCATAGCAGACAGGTAAGGTTTTATTTAGGATGACAGAGCAAAAGACAGACTGAAAAAAAAAATCAGAACAAACAAACAGATCAAAACCACTCTATCCTGTAAGCTATTGATCATACATTAAGGATATCACAGTAAACAAACCAACCAAACAAAATAAACCTTCAGCTACCTTCCAACTACAAAATGTGTAACTGATGTGCAGCTACTGCATGCCCTCAGAGTGTAAAGCATAATCTATGCAGCACCACAAACAGTATATGGGCCACCTTCCTGTGTGATAATGGTTGCATGAAAACCCCAGGAAACCTCTGGAGGAGAGAGGCACCACTGAGAGCAGCCAAGTCCTACCTCAGAGTTATGATACCAGAGGTAAAAAGGAGAGATACCTGCACGGGTCCTAAAGAACAGAGATCACTGGTGGCCAAGAAGATTTTAATATTGAGGCAGAAGTCGTGTTACTGATAAATAAGATGCTGGTGATGCTAACAGTCAGTTCAAAGGCTTTTAACACAGAGGAAGGGAAGGACAGTCAAGAGCTCTCAGGAACACCTGGGCTAACACAGTACCCACATCGCTGCTCAGTAACAAACATCTTCTCATTTCTGGTGAATATTAATCATCTGCCTGCAATGACATCTCACAGATGAAACACAAAAAGGTGACCAAAGTTTCTTCTCTTCTAGATCTTGGTACTCTTCATGAAACATCTCTGCAGGCTTAACAGCTTGCCTGCCCTGCAGAATACAAGTTACCAGAAACCACTACGGTGATGATGCATCTCGAATGATCTCTTGGGAATAAGAATTTCACTCGGGACATGCCAGTTGCCCAAGTAAGTCTTCAGGAATGCGATCATTTCTGAGGCTGAATATATGTGTGCCTATTCCTCAATAGCACCATGGCATCAAAAGCAAGCAAAGTTTAAAAAGGGGCAACTTAAGAGTTTCACACTCTAATGAAATAATAATGCAACATCCTGACCACAGAGAATGCCAAGAAGTCTTAATATCACATAGTTGCAGAAKCAACAAACCTCCATTCATTAACTGGAACGAGGAGGTGTGCGTGAGGTAGTGTCACCTTACGGACTTTGTATTAGAGATGTAATAATCCAGGGGTATATGATTTCTCTCAACAGACATTTTTGGATAAGTAGCTTTCTCTTGATATTACATACTAGAAAACTATTAAAAGTCCAGTACTTTTGAAGCCCTCTTCTGAAAAGAATGGTATCAAGAAAATATCAAACATATAAGAAAATAAAGAAGGTGGAAAAGACTCCCTCCCAAAATGTGCTACTACCTTTTTCATATGCAAGTGAAATTCATTCAAAATTTGTGTGTTCAGGCATTCCTTGTAGCCTCACATAAATAGTGTCTCAAAGTAATGAGGAAATGAAAGTGCTACACAAGAATCAGTGTGAACAAGCAGAAAAGCTTTTTTCCACAATTTGGCAACTGTAAACACACTGTTAGAAAAAAAGTGTTTTACTATAGAAAAAACTTGCAGAAGTCTTCAGAATACAAAAGCCAATGGTCAACCTTAGTTTCAAACCCCTATGATTTAAATTCTATCCACAAATGGAACATTTCTCTGTCTGAAAGGGACTAGAACTGCAGTTTTCTTACTTCAAATCTGTTTTCCTGAATCATCAAGATAAATATGTTCAGTCTTCTCATATCCAGCACCTAGTTCAAGACTTACAGTCATCTTTTACATATTTGCCCTCAACATGTAGGAAAACTGTGTAGTTCTTGGAATATCCAGGTTGTTCTTTCATGCACAGCCTACTCAGTCTGATTCTTGCCTTTTACTCCCAACTCCAGTTAATCCTTATGTTGTCACTTCCTTCTTTTGATCCTAAATAAACAGTCTATGATCCTTTTGGTGTGCTAGCTGCATATACTACTGTTTTGTAAAAGCCTATGMATTTCCAAGATGCTAATTAGCAGCTTTACACTGCGCATAAAGTTCCCCTGGGACAGCAGTGAAATCATTATAATGGTAAACAATACTGAAGACAAAATTCTGTTCCTACTTGCTTGAAGCAAATACCCTTTCTCCAGTGAATATAATGTTTTCTCAAAAAAAAAAAAAAAMCTATATGAAACCCTATTAAAATTATATATTGATAGGAAGTAAGTTTTGAGGTAAAACAAAACACAGGAGCCAGGACAACAACTGTCCTAGAAAATCTTTCTTTTTTTAGCCCTACACAGTAGAGGAGCAGATGGTAAACTACTGAAATACATCCTTCCCCCCCCCCAAAAAAAAACTATGCAAATATCCTCATGAAGTTAACAAACTATTCATTAAAAAATCTAGGAAAGATTTCTATACAGATAACAGAACAAGTGGCTTTTCTTTGCAGCACTGTTGATGCAAACTAACAGATTTCTTTGCTTTTTAGAATCACAGAATTATTTCACTTGAATTTCTATGATTTAAAGCATCCCTTTAAAACTCACCTTGGATCAGGCTGAGCAATTTCATTGGTGAGGTTTTCATATCCAAACTGATTTAGTATTGTAACCACAAGCATTGGAGCCAAAGACTGGGCCGGCTTTGTAAACAGGGCATTGGTACCAAAAACCATAGAGGAAAGTGGTGATCTAAAATATTTAGCAAAAAGAAATGCAGAGCACTAACTTTCCAGCATTTATAATCATTTATAGCAGTGATTCTTTAAATTCTGTTTCTACACATATGCTATTTTTTGTCAYATATTTAAGTATAATATTAATTATAAGACTTTTATTTTAATAAAAGCTATTTCTTAGCTTTATATTTAACAATTATAGCAAGGAGAACAGCTTATATTCATTTTATTTGGAAATGAATGGTAATAAATTTCTGGGGTACAAAGAGCTTAGCCCCAACTCTGAAATGACTCATACTGGTCACAAAATTCAACTTTCTAAGCAGTAACTACTGAATCTAACCTGAACAGAACAGGGAAAAATAATTACAATTTAAGATTTTACATGCATTAGTCATGAAAAAAGGCAATTTTTCCTCCTCCATGAAAGCAGTTCTCACATTTAAGTCCTTTAATAAAGTGATGAAGAGTGAACTTGCACTAAAAGAAGAACAGGAAGTTTTCTGCACTTCGACAAAAATCCAAAAGATGCATGAGTTGTAATATGTCACATCACAGGAGGTTTTATTGATTTTTTGTTTTTAAGCAACAATTTAACTTTGAAGTCTGTCTTGTAAGTCACGTAAGTAAAACTTTCAAAATRCCTTTTCCATGTTAGAAAGGCCTTACCCAGAAAATTCCCTAAGTAACACTAGATGTGCAGTCCTGCAGGATATGTCTATTGAAGTTAACAAGAATCAACACAGAAAAATTTTAGGACTGGGCTTGTGTTACTGCAGTACAATTTAAGCCATAAACAACCTAACAAACTGTTTAAATTATTCTGCTGCAGTAACCGCAAGGAATAACGCACAAGTCATCCTTCCTTACGCTGATTTGCTCTTGTGTATTGAGGGGCAAAGATGTCTTATTTGCAGCCTTCACTTTGACATAATCTAATTTCTTAACAGAGCAACATGGCAATTAAAGAGTATTCAGAGCAAAACATTTGAGACTGAACCTACCTCCGTTTGTGTTTTATTAAATCTGCATCAACAATATCTGCCAAGGGCAGATTGAACAAACTAAATGAAGCTTGTACAATTACCCTAAAGAAAGACAAAACAATTAAGATTTTCATAGATCTTTTATACACTTTTATAATAAAAAAAAAAGTTAACTGATGCCTAATCTGACATCCTAACACATACACCCAACCACACTGACATCTCTGCAAACAAAGGTGAAACATTCACTAAAATATTACTAAAATAATACGAGTTCTGACATCGTTGTTGCAAATGAGATTTAGAAATCTATATGGAAAATTTTTTTCTTTTCTCTTTTTTTTTTAAACACCCTGGAATTCCAAAATTACTACAATTTGACACTGGTGTAAAAGGCTATAAATACTTGTTTGAGATTATGCATACTAAGCTCTTAAAATTACATGAAACATAAGAAATGAGAAGGGATAGGGTGTATATGTATTTATATATATGCATTTAAGCAGATACACAGAGCTCTCTCTCAACAACTAACTAAATGAAACCATAAAACCAAATATTCAGATTTCACAGGATATCTTACATATAACATTTAACATGTATTCAACGTGATTATGTTCTATTTACAAAAGGTTTTGAACATTTAGCACATTAAAGAGAGTCTTTTGGTACCTTGGAAGATTTTCTTGGGAAAATCCATATATATCTTCATCATTTAAATTATGTAGTTAATGAAAGTCAATTTATTGGTCACATAATTCAGTGTTAGAGTAGCCCATGATTGAAATACTGAAAATAAGAAGGAAAAGGAAACAAAACAAAACAAAAAAAGGTAGAAAGCACATGCAGAAAAAAAAGAGCAGTGAAAAAAAAGAAATAAAGAAATAAAAATGGCCTGACATAACAATGTTCTGATATAAAAAAGAGCTTTCCATATGTCAAAATGTACATCTATGCAACCACTACTTCTAGGCATCATACTTTGTGACTTAGCCTTGTTTAGCTAATGGATACCTCACACCAGCATCTGCTCTGCAGTGTAACAGGCAAGTGTCCATGTAATATTAAATGAAGTCTTAGGTTTGGTAGGGAACAGTCTCCAGAGTTCCTCTACTTAGACTCTCTGTCTTTAAGTGGATAAGATTCTGCTTCACTATAATCTGAATTTGTCCCATGTTAAAGTAAATAYGTGGCTGGAGACATGTGGCTGCAAATTTTAACTATTGTATTTATTCCACTGTTATTTTAGCTTATTTATTTATAAGCAGCAATTAAAAGCTGGAGTAAAATGAAAACTGAATATGTTGTAACTGTAGATACAGCTTTTCTGACAGGTAAAGCAGAATAGCAAAAGGAAACCATAGCAGAGTGGCAAAATCTTCCAGCCATTAAAAGAAAGTGTGCATTCCCTTAGAATTATCTAAGCATTTTCTATGAATAAGRAAATCTATTTACTTACATGTTTGTTGTTAGATAAAATGCCAAGAGATAGTAGTGGTCTGGCCCTAGAAAAAAAATGGTGGCAGCAGCTATTCCTTCAAAGTAAAAGGAAAACAGGATGATTCTGTAATAACCAAACTTCTTCAATGAAGCATGACTGAGAAGAACAAGGCACTGAAAAGATAATATATAGATATATATAAGAAAAAGACAGATTACAATATTTCAGCATTGGGAAAGTTAGGAAGCACAGACCACGCACAAGATACACTCTAAATAAAAAATATGAACTGAACAAAGAACTGCTTATTGGATCATCCAATGCTGCCTCTACAAGAAAGAATTTYTACCCAAAATTAACTAGCTGAACACTAATATACTGTGAGAAAAATACTTCTCATTCTCTAACTATTATTTAATGCTCATTATGTCTGATGTCCTTAATTATGTCCTTAAAAAATGAGCTTTGCAATGTGTTGGCTGTAAACCAAGCATCTTGCTATTTGAAGTTTAACTGCTGATCTAAGATATTTTAGGGAAGAATCAAATTTTCATTAATATTACTACCTGTTTTCACTGACATTTATAGATATACAGCATGACCTTTAAGTTGATAAAGCAAGCTCATCAAAAACAGTTGATCTAGGCAAGTTATTGACTTTCCAGTTAAGAGACAGGCAGATGCAGCGTATGTAGCTGCATCTACTTCTGCCATCTTAACAAGCAATAATCTGTGCTAGAAGCTATTGATGGACAAAATCACAAAATGGTTAGAGTGCTCATTATAATATTAAGAAAGTGTAAGCTCTTCTATAACCTTCCTCACTTTCCATTTTAAATAGGGCATTTTGTGATGCCCGATGCTTTTCTCATTGCTGTAGGAGCTACATGCGTGTCCTCGAGCCATCACCAGAGAGATTCTCAAGCCCTGCAGAGAAGTAATTTTCTCCTTCCTTTTGTGTTACACAGATGAACTATTTAACAGTTAATTAGTATTTAAGAACAAGAAGGAATTCTCCTTGTACAATTGTTCCAATTTATAAAAACTTCAACAGGACATTACTGTCAGATAGAATCGATTGTGGCAATTGCTGTTTTGAAGAAGCTGAAGTCTTTCATTCAAACCCATGAATGAGTAGTATAAAGAGAACAGGTAGTACTAAGACTAGGTAAAACTAATCTGAAAAGTTACTGTAACAAGACAATCTGATTGAAAAAAAAAAAAAAAAACATGATGCCAAGCTATTTTCAGACATTTTGCCGAAACACACTTATATAGGAAATGGTAACACTTGTACTAAGACTTGTACTAAGACTTACAATAGAAATGGTAAGAAAATGGTAATGTTTGTCATTGTAAAAACCATGACCTTATCTCTCTATAACTGACAAATAACTGTGTCAGGAAGCACTTAGGATTTAGAAAATTCCTGACAACATGCATATTTCTTAGACTACATACTTTTAAGAAAAATACTATCTTAACGATGCTTTGCTTTTAAATATGTTTMGATGTTTTCTGAGCTTCCCTGGTAAGTTTTATTCTGGCCATCCACTGCAAGAAGGAACACATGAGAGAAGCTGTATCCTAGTTTAGTACAGACCACTGAAGCACACTCATTATGGGCTTTATTTTACATGGGTTGGGTGATTTTCCAGTAAGTGAAGTTCAGGACATTGCCACCAGATAATTCTCTTATTATATCTTGAACTCAGAGGGACAAAACCTGAAAAAAAAATAAGGTCACAGCAAACACACTGTGGTTCTGTGACCTTCTAGACAAAGTGACTCTGGGGAGCAGAAAGAAACAAAAAAAYCCCATTCTCTTAAGGACTGTTTGTTTAACACTGTCACACTGATTTTATCAACCAWTGTAGCTGTCATAATTCTGTAATTTCTGCAGTTTTTATATACTTCCAAAGAAGCTCATCATCTAACAATATATTTGAGTTATGGAAAAAGCCTATTAAAGCTACAGTAAGGGTAGTTGAAAACTTGAAAAAGTTGAAAGATTTTCAGAGCTATGGAAGAAAGAAGGCATGGTTAGTATTTATAGGAGAGAAAAATCTTTTTTTTTTTCCTGTATTATATCAGCAAAATCCGAAACTACTACTGAAAATCTCAGTCATGTATTCAAGTTGTACTTTCACTTATCTCCTTCYAAGTTTTACTTATTAAAAAACATTACAGCCCAATTTACAGAAATTCTGAACAGGTACCATCAGTACCTGTGATAAAAGGTAATTCAGTTTCTGAGAAATCCACCAGGTAGCAAACACAGTAAAAGTTTTTACAAAGGTTTTACAAGTCCATTTATATTTGTGGAAGACACTTTCGATGCTTTCCTGCTCTCATAAATTACATGCTTGGGTTGTCTCTTTTCCAGCTCACCGCTCCTCCCCTCRCCCCGACTGGGCTCTTGAAACTGCATCTTTCCCTGGCCTCTCTAAACGTAGCTCATCATCAAAGCAGACAGCAAAATAAATCTTAAAGCATCCTTCTCCCAAAACATCTGATTACAGATTTAGTTCCCATGACTGAGATACATTTCAAGACAGCCTTTAAACCTAATAGTTTTCCAGGGTTTTGTGCAGCTTATCTGGAAGATTTCTGGAAAAAAGAGGTAATCTTTTCATCATACAACACACACACACCAAAAACAAAGAAAAAAAAATCAGAACTCTACAGATTTTGCTCTTAGAAACTTATCCTGCCTTTGTTTCCCTTTCCTTTCTACTGAGCTATTATAAACCTGACAATATACAAAACACTCTTGGCTCACTTTCATTTCAAATTCTTCAATATTTGACCAGTTGTCTACTTGTGCTTTTGCAGTCCCCTACTCTTGTGTTTGCTCAGCCTGTACACATCGGCACTTCTCTCGGTCAGAGCTAGAGCTTTGCTTCTCAGTGTGGCCAACAGCTCATGCCAGGAACAACATTTGTTCAGTGAAAAGTATAAATGGATACCTTGGGAACTAATAAAAGACTATCTTTCCATCTTTTGAACTAAGCAACCAAATAAAAAAGTATTAGTGCTTACCTGAGGACAAATAAAGCCTGCTCCATACATAACACTTCTTATTGAGGAAGAAAGGACATCCTTAGGAATTAGATTATCCGCAAAGATCATCATAAAATTGTTGCAAAAGGCTAGGTGGAAGACTTGGAAGAAGTTCATAGTCACAAAAAATAAGAAGTTTTTTTCTGCCATTATCTGCTTGGTTAGTGAAATTACAGAGGACCAGGAAAGAGCTCCATCATCATTTTCTAGATTAGCACTCTCTGTATGAATTTCTCTCTGCTCATATTGACTGGTACTGTATTTGCCCGTGTAACACATACAAGCTGTTGCTAACACAGCAACCAAAACAGTAAAAGCCTGAAAAGAGGCAAAATTCTCCATATTATCTGATATTAGACCACAGAAGAGAATGCTTGTTGATCCAATTAATGTTGCTACTTGGTTATATTTAATAAGCTGAAGCCTATTTTCATGTCTGGTGGAAATTTCTGCAAAGAGAGCACATTGCGCCAGAAGCACAAACGTAAGCAACCCGTCAAAAGCACACAGAGAAACAATCAGGTGGAGACCACTTAGCCAGTCGCCTTCCTCGTAATGTTTCCAAGGAAACCAAGGAAGCAAAAAGGCTAATGCATAYAAGGGAGCTCCATACAGAATTGAAAACTGACGTCTTGAGCAGCAGGCGAATTTGGAATTATCTTGAATATACCCAAAAAGAGGATCATTGATGGCATTCCATATCATAAACACCACCTGTGACAAACAAGCATGAAACAACATAATGTATCATTAGTGTCATTTTTTTTTTCTTGCAGAGACTGTGGAAAAATACAAGTTATAACCATTGTATTTATTCAAAATAAATCTCTATTCAAAGAATAAAAAGAGATGGAAACTTGCCAGGTCAAAACCGACTCAGGAACAAGGATTTTTTTTTTTTTGAGTACTTTTAAAAAACAAAACAAATAAGCAGGAAGGTGCCAAACTAGTTAAAATAAACCATTTCTGAGAGCTTGGTCTTTCAAACACTTATGCGTCTAGGCTTTCATCTCCCTCAAATTCCTATAGCAAGTAATTCAAGGCAAGAGTTGGGCCATTCTATTCAGGAAATAATTTAGGTGCTCAAGAGTTGCCCACATGGATAGTGACTTGCAGAATCAAGGCAGTATTTAAGCACTTAAAAAGTTCGTAGGAAAGCACTGAAGTCAAATGCATCCGTGAAGCTGAGGTGCAAGATCGGTTTAGTACATTACTTCAAGCTGTGAAAGACAAAAGTCTTTCTGGCAATTCAAGTCCAAGATTTTTTTTTTAATTCTAAAGATGGTAAATAATGCACTTTAAGCGTGCCTTCAAATGCTTAAGACTAACTAAATTTAACATGTGGTTTTTGTACTATTGAACTACTTTTTGAACTATGCAATGCATTCAAAGGGAATTTATAAATAAAAAATAGCTTCTTATGATACTACACAGTACAACATGGAAATCAAAACACTGTTATACAATACCTGTGCTTGATGAAAGGCTGCTTCTGAAATTCTGTATTGGTTTAGGAAAAGCTTAACGTAGTAGAAATTAAAGATACTGTTCATCATTCCAGCACCTAATGTAGTCATAGAGTATGCCAGTGCATTATGATGAATTCCCCAAGTAAATTTCATCTTCCAAAAAGTCTAAGTCTCTTCTCCCTCCAGTTATGAAAAAAAAAAAAAAAAAAAAAAAAAAAAAAAAAAAAAAAAAAAAAAAAAAAGAATTAGTGGGTAGAATAATTTTCCAAAGTAAAAAGCTATGTGAGATTTTCTTGTTTCAGAGAAGCAGAACTGGGTTTTTGGATGAAATTTCTCCATCTTCTTTTTTTTTTTTTTAAATGATATTGACATTTCCAAATATCATCAAGGCTTAAAAAGAAATAACAAACAGACAAAAATTCAAAAGAGACAAGTGCAAGAACCTGATGCAAAAATCTGCTACTGCAAGCACTAATCTTGGAGCAGAGTTCAAAGCAATTGCATACATTTTAGATCCTTCTTGCTAGCTGCATAGTTCCAAAATTACAAAGAACTCTGTAGGAATGAAATGACGCAATTCACATCCCTGTGTATTCCATTGTTATGAATGTCAAATGCAACATGCACTTAGATGAGTATTTCTTTTAAAATGAATTCAAAACTTTATCTTTTTTTTTTTTTTTTTTTTTTTGTTAACAAAAGGAACTCAAGGCATGGAAGCAGTATTTTCAACTAATAAACTAATGAAAGCTTAAGACAATCAAAACACCTTTAAATAAACATTTTCATACCAAAAGAGAACTCATCTAAATAAAATCTAGAAAGCAACTTGTACAGAACAACACAGTATTTGGAGCATATCCAAACAGATTCAGCCCAAGGACATTCAGTTCCTTAATATACCAAACAGATCTTCAGCCAACAATGTTTTAAGACCTTGCCTTTTCCCACGTATCTAGCATTTAGCTGAAGTATGTTGGAATAAACCATCCAATGAAAATATCCTGCTTGGGAAAATCTCTGCCTTTTAAAGCAGTGCAACAAGTATTTTCATGTTCCTTGACCAGACTGGATTCCCTAAACCCATCCACYCTTCCTGCTGCCTGTGGATCACAGTTGACAGGCTGCAATGAGGAGGATGGGAGGTTCTTCATCACAGGGTGAGAGACAGGCAGTCAGGGCTGCAGAACTGCCCGTTCCAGCCAAGACAGAGCAGGGAGCAGCAGCTCTCCCATTGCTCCCAACACAGAAAGTCAATACCCGAACAGCAGTAAATGGGGTGTGTTTTTGGATACCTACAGTTAAGATGCTCAAATATGAAACAGGAAAAGGAAGTAACTTTTCTTTACAGGTAAGGAAAAAAAAATAAAGCTCACACACAACTTAAAGATCTTTTCAAAAACCTTAAAACCTTTTTTTTTTTTTTTTGAAAGCGTATGACTGAATGTGCAGATACTTGAGGATACTTGATTTCAGAGCTATTTTTTCCACAGAGCTACAGCAATACTTCCATTCCCAGGTGATGAAATTTCACATTTGCCTAACAACTTCTGTTTCTGAAACTATTACTGCAAAACCTAAAATGAAGGGTAAGGTTACTGAAATGATTCCCATTTAAATGTTATTTTTAGAAGTATAACATTATAAATTGTGGAACTCATTACAGAAGCACGTCAGTGACAAGTGTCACATTTTAAGAGGAAGTGTGTATTCAACCCTTCACAATTGCGCTTAATGGAGTGTTTCAAACAGCAGATTTATGGAGCAGATAGTGGGGCACTTGGAAAAGCAGACACAGATGGGGCACTTGGAGAAGCAGACATTTCATATGTGTTTCCTTCTGTAAAACGGCACAGGTTTCTGAATGGGGAATTGCAGACGCCCCTAAACGCCAGGAGTGCCAAGAAAGGCGCTAGTTTTACCTGCAAACTAGTCCTGCAGATTCTTCATTCTGCAGCTCGCTCAGGACACGACTCGTCCTGCACAGGGAGAGAGAAGAGGCCCCCTCAGCTCGGGCAGAGCTGGAAGCGGCGCCTCACGAACCCTCCCCGCGGACGAGGAGGGCCCCTCAGTGACCGCCGCGCCGGTAACTGGCTCCTCTGCTCCTCGCCCGCGAAGAGGCTGCGGGCGCGGGGAGCCGCCGCAGCGCCGCCTCGCCCCCACAGCCGCCCCCGCGCGGCGGACACGGCAGCGGAGCGGCCGCTCCGTGACTCGGAGCCGCTCCGGGGGGTTCTCGCGGAAATGGGCGCGGTGGCCTCAGCCCCGCCGCGCTGCCCGGGGGGTCTCCGGGGGCCGCGGGCAGCCGCAGCTGCTGCTCTGGGCGGCTCCCGGGCGCGGCTCCCGCTTCCTCGCCGGGGAAGGAGCCGCGGGCGGGGGGCGGAAAGGGCCGCCGTGCGCCGGACCCTCCRCGCTGCCGCCCCGACATCGCGGAGCGGGGCCCGCGCCCCTCCGCGGAGGCGCTTCCCGAGACAACTCCCGCACGGAGAGACCCGGCGCCGCCTGAGCGGGCCGTCCCACGGGCCACAGCGCTGTCCCCGCCGTCCACCCCGCGCGCCGCCRCGCCGCCGCGCGCACCGACCCAGCTCCTCCGACGGGAGGCCACGCACCTCGCTGACAGGGMGGGGCACATTAGCTTAATCCCACCTCCTCCTCCTTCCCATTGGCGGGCGCTCCTTTCGATCCGGCCGGCTCACGGCTCCCCGTTGGCCGCCCGCGGGGGAGGCCCGGCCGCTGTGTTTGAATCGCGGGCAGGCGGTGGGCGGGCGCTCGTGGCTGCCACGTTGCCGCCGCCCGGCCAGAAGGGGGAGAGGTTCGGCAAAGTCCGGAAGCGTTCGGCGATGGCCGGCGGCGGCGGCTGCTGAGGCGCGCGCGGCGGCTACCGGCTCGGCGCGAGGGAGGCTCGGCAGCGCGGGCGCCGCCGCCTCGGCCCGCGCCGGCCGGGGCGCGATGCTGGCCGACAGCCTCGTGGAGGAGTTCGAGATCCGCGAGGATGAGCCCTGGTACGACCAGCAGGACCTGCAGCAAGGTGAGCGGGGCGGCGGGAGCGCGCAGCCCGCGGCGGGCAGGGCGCGAGGGGCCGGCGGCGGGAGCGGCGCAGGGGGCGCGCGGGGCTCCGCGGCGGGCGCAGTCCCGGCCGCCTTTGTTTGACGGCGGGGCGGCAGCGCAGCCGCCTTGCCTCGCTCCATCCCTGCGCGGCCCCCCCGCGCACCTGGACGCTCCGCGGGTTCCCTCGCCGTGCCGCCCCTYAGCCGGGCGGCGGCAGGTCCGCGTCTGGAAGGAGAGCGCCCCTCTTGCTAAGGAAAGAGGGAGGGAACCGCCATGGCGCCCCGCGGCCGCCCCGCCCGAGCCCCCACGTGGAGGCGGCTCCGCGGAGGGGCTGCCGGCCGCGGCCCACGGCGGATGCGCCGCGGGGTCCGCGGTGCCCAGAGCCGGCGCTTTCCTGCTTGACTTTCTTACGATTTTTTAATAACGGCGAGTTCGGTTTAAATGGCCACCGCCGAGCCCTGAAGTGGCCGCCTTCAGTCCCGCCCCAGCCTTGGTCGCTCGCAGCCAGGCGCGGGCTGAGTCTCGGGGTTCGCGGGCACCGCTGTGCCCTGAACCGGGGAAAGGAGCCTGGCGAGGAGCTCTCCAGCGCAGCAGCCTCTGCACCGACACGAGCAGCACCAGACAGCAACTCTGAGACAGGAGCAGGTCCCTAATTGGATGTTTTGTCTATAAAATAGCTGCTCAGCAGCTATATTTAGATGCGCTCCGCTCAGAAGTGATGTTTTCCTGGCTATTGTTTATAAACCCGTTGGTTCAAGTAAGATCCTGCAGCAATAGCTGGCTTTTGCAAGGAAGAGTTGAAAACTTGGAGATAGGATTTAGTGGTGTTTCCCATGCTGCTGCCTATGGGCTGCTGGACTTGCAGACAGATTTCACAATGCATCGTATAGTGACTTTTTACTTACTTGTGCTCCTCTAATTTAGTCTTATTAAAAGTGAGTGAAATAATCCTCATTTGAGCTCCTAAGAGGCAATTTTCCATTCTAGAGGTTAGTCTCTTTTGAGGRTTGGTTAATTAATTCTCTATCAGTATTCTATCTTTTTCTGAGGATTATCTCCTTGCGAGCCTCAGCGGAAGTGACTAAAGCCTTGCCAGAAGGGAAGGGAGGAAAATAAACTGAAGGGCAAGTTAAAACGCAAAGATGATGCCTTGAGGGAATGCCTTTAAAGGGATCTTTATACCACACTGTTGCAGTTTAAAAGATGCTCTTCATCATGCTAAAACTGATGTATCTAAACAAAGTGGCAAAGAGTGTCTCTAAACTCTTCCCAACCTAATCAGTGCATATTTGTGAGAAGACCTACAATGTTAAAGATATTTAAAAAGCACCCCAAAACAACCTGAAGTCCTTGTCTGTCTTTGAAATTTAAAATTAGGGTAGGGTTTTGGSCAGACTTTTGACAGTCTTTGTACGTGCTGGAAGCTTTTCCCTTGATAAGGGAGGTAAATTGTTCAGGCACGTTGTTCATGGGAACGGGATGCTCCTGGAGTCCTGCAAGGAGGGGAAGCACCATCCCTTCTTCCAAAAGATATTTTCTGGGAATATGCTGGCCTTTGAAAAATAACTATTGCAATTGCTCCTTTTACATCTTTGAACATAAGAGTAGAAAATATCAGCTCAGTAAAAAACTAAGGGTTTACTTTTACAGTTAAGCAGTTCAACCAGACATATATCTTCTGCTACTAATGCCTTCTGCTTCTGAAAAGAATAGGCTCATTTTACTCTGAAAATTCTTTGAATCATTTTGTTAGGTGAGTCATGAAAGAATGAAAGGAAGAATCTCGGTACTGTTTTAATCTTCCTTTCCCAAGTATAGTAACACTGTCAGTACAGCTTGGGGAGGAGTGGTGATAGATGATGGCTGTTTAACACCATGGACGTACCATCCAAATCTTGTTTTGGGTTAGAGATTCCAGGTGGAACAGTTGAACACAATGAGTAGGATTGATTTACTAAAATCAAGCTCTTAAAATTTGCATCTCCATGGATGGCATCTACAAATATTTTAATAATGCAAACTCTATTTTCTGTTGTGCAACTTCAACACGTAGCTGTTAGTTTACCTAAGCTTACAACAAAAAAGGCAATGTGTTTCTAATATTGCAAGGTAACTCTTGCAATGTGTCAAGAAATGTGTAAATTAACTTTTTTCTTTCTATCTCTGGAGAAGAGATAATATATCCTGTACCTGGATGCTTAAAAATTGCAGTTTCAAAAGGAGAAACAAAGAAGGCAATTTCTGTACCCTTCTTAGAAATGCCTGATTGTGCTATGTTTTCAGTGGCCACATTTCATTATATRTGTACTCAAAGGCTACACTCAAACTGCAGAATTGTGTGTATATTTTAAAACTAGTGGGGGCAAATCACCAATTCATGCAGTAAGATTGAGAGAGTAAAAAAGAAATCTAATGGACACTGATTTCAGTTTTGACTGAATTCACTAGGGAATATAGGTACTAAAGGCAGCAAAATGAATGAAAAGCAAATTCTTCACCTTAGAACAAGTCGTGTGGTTTCAGTTCTTCCTTCCTCTGTAGATAGGAGTTGGAGTTTTACTGCATGCGCCCGAGTTGTTCAACTGGTCCTCTCCTCCTCGGAAACAAATTGCCTTAATTACAAAACAGCACGCTGCTGCCATAATAACCCGCTTGTGCTTCTGCTGGTCTAATGAACAGAATGAGTGTTTAAGTAGAATGACATGAATTCTATTATTTGCATTGTATTCAAAGTACTGTGTGTTATGCACAATTTGATTTAGTGAACGTGGGGGGCATTTAGGAATGAAATTCTCTACTCCTAAATGCGTTTCAACATCAAAAACAACTTTCCCTTTGGAGAGGGAATTGGCAGTGAGTAATTCCATTATGCATTACATCCCTAATGTAATCCTAAAATCCTCCCTAAAGTTCTTATTCTGCTCTATTAAAATAAAAGAATGAATTGTATAGTCTTTGTCCTGAATGATGCCAATATTAACTGCTGAGTGGCTTTGAATATTACGTGGCTCCTAGTAAAGACTGGTAGCACAAGAACTTGTGAATCAAGGCTGTATTTTGTAATACATGATGACAGATTCACTGCAGACTACGGCACTTTGTAAGGTGACTGAACAAGTGGCTTTGGTCTTGGCTGCTTGGGAGTCACTTTGTCTCTGGATACATATGAACGTATGATCCTGGTTAAATATGAGAAAAGCTTAAGCAGAAGGTCTTGAGGTTTCCTTATCTAAATACTTTGAGCCCCAAGAAAAAGCTCTAGAATAGGCTGTGCTTCTTAATAAGAGGTGTTACAGTGGAAGCCTATGTGAATTCCCAAGCATAGATCAGTATGCCATGTGGCTCAGTCGTGTGTCTTTTGAGAGTATGGGCACCTCCCATACTGTATGATTTGTTCTAAATTAATGTATTGACATTTATTCTAAGAATCTCATTCAGGGTAGGAAATGCATGATTTCAGCTTAAAAAAAAAAAAAAACAACCACAAACCCAACAACAACAAAACCCCCCACAGCTGTTATATAGCCAGAAAGGGATATCTACAACTTAATAGACAAATGCTGCTATTCACCTGTCTTGATGAGTCTGAAGTCAGTCTTCGGCTTGTTTGCCTAGATCTAGTTACTGTTCTGGACAGACTGTCAAAGGGAAGTTTGGCACAAAACAGGCCAGGAGCAGTGCTCTGTCTGTGACAATGGCTGATAAGATAATTGGGAGAGGGCGAGAAGGAGGCAGAACAACATGATAGAACAAGGGCATCTTAACCAAACAAAACCAGAATGTGTTCTCCAGTCTAGCTGCAATTGCCAGTGATGCAATAAATGTCTCTTGTGCATTAGCTTAAGTCTTTATGGAAATAACTTAAGTTCTCCTTGGCTGTATGTAACTGCATATAGGAGACAACCTGGCTAGAGCCCAGGTGAGGGGAAGGAGGTACAAAAAAAATGAGATTTTTTTTTCTTAAGTCTACTGAGTTGTAAACTTCTAGAGTAGTTAGTAATTTAACAGTAACACTTAGGCTGACTTATTTGTCACTTCATATGACCGTTGAAATTGCATTTGTTTTGAGACATAATTATATGTATCTAGTACTACTCACTCATGCTATGGAAGAAATACCAACTTCCCTGCAGAAGGGACTGGGTGTTGAGATGAGTTATTTCTTATTTTGAAAGAACTTCAGTTGCTGCACCTTTAAGTCAACTGAAGATGACCAAAGTGCCTGAGAATAAAGGATATTTTAAGTGATGTTTTAGAAGGCATAAAACAATCTTTGCCTTCTAGATTTAAGATTAAGCAGAATAAGTTTCTCTTTTTTTTTTTTTCCCCTCCCCTCCTTTGAACTTACTGTTTTAATTATCTGAAACTTTCATCTCGTTTTTAGATCCTGTATGACCTGAGCTCCTTGTTGATGGAGGACCAATGGGGTAGAAGAGCAGTGTAAATGGCAAGAGTAGGACCAGCTTTGTCCTGGCTCTAGCCTGAGGAGCCCTTACTGGCTTTTTGTGCTCGTTCTTCTACAATACGACTCCAGTAAACCTGGGGACAGAGAGCTCACCGACCGCAGGGTTCACGTGGAGGGAAGTGAAGATCAGGATGGTTCGGTCCTCTGACTGAAGGACCAAAAGAAGAACTAAGATACTGTCATGACATAAGAGGGCTATCTTCTAGGTTTCAGGACTCTCAGACTTGCATTGTAGGTGGCATCTGAATGTTCTACTTAGGTATAAGCTGCCTTGCTTTTTAGGTACTGGGAATAACTTGGACCACTTACAAAAGCTGTAGCAAGCACCTTAAATATTTGAAATGCTTAAAAGTTGCATTAATTTGGGGAGTTTACAACTTGCATGCAAACATGACTTCTTTGTTTAGACCTCCACCTCGCTGCTGAGCTTGGGAAGACRCTACTAGATCGTAACACGGAGCTAGAAGAATCTTTACAGCAAATGTATGCAACGAATCAAGAGCAACTGCAGGAGATAGAGGTAAGTATTTGACGTATCTATGTGTTAAAGCATCCAGATTTGYAACAGAAGAGCCACGGAAGTTTAAATCGGTATTTTTCAAGGAAAACAATGACCCATCTTTAACAGCTTGAAAATCTGAAAGATTGTATAGGCTTAATCATAGATGGAACTATGTGTCATTGAATGGAAGCTTATGTCATTAAACTTATTGTTGGATTTGATTTAACAACAAATGACAGGTATCTRTACAAAAACTACCTCAGGAATTTGTGTTTTTCTGTACATACTAGGTAAAGTTAAATGAAAGTATATGAAAATGTGATTAATAAATCATTTACTTTAAATATTTAAATTCATCATTTAAATCTAACTGCTTTAAAGGCTAACAACAGGAAGGAGATCTAAGTAAAATCTGAGCATATATACTTCCAGTAAAGAATTGCGGTGTGACAAGAGAATTGAAATAAATTTCATTAAAAGAAATTCCAGCAAAAAGAAATATTTAATCAGTATCTAAATATAGGATGTATTAGAGTCTTTTGTGTTTACTAGGGAAAAGTCATAACGAGCCTTTCAAAGACATTTAGCTTTGCTTTTTTTTAACTGACAACATACTGAAAATGTACTYAGCATTTCAATCGAGTTCTGGTAAGAATCAAAGGCAGCAGATTGTGACTGTTACACATTGAATTCTTATAAAATTTTAGAATCCACTGGTGCAAGTAATACTTATTTACAGACTGTGTATGACCTTTGTACAGCTGCAACTTGAACTTAAAAACCCCATAACAACTGCAGGTAACCTTTTAAAAAAACGCCCCAAAACTCTAGGCTTGAAACAGGCAAATATATTGGGTGTTTAAAAAAATCATGTTAATAAAAATACAGCCTTTTTATTAGATAGTATACAATCTTTGGATAATACTTTTTATAAAAGTTGTTTTTATATCCTATAGTCAGTCTTTTTTCACTATTATGTGCTAAACATTATTTCCATTATCCTGTTYACTCTGTGACACAGTGGTTGGAATGGCCTAAATGTATGTTAATGCCACAGCCTTAAAGGAAGTATGTATTTATTCAGAGATTTTAAATAACTTGTGGGTATAACTTTTTTTTTTAATGGAAAGATTGATCCTTAAGATCTAAAGAACAGGAGCACTTGAAGTTGCTATAAACTACTGCTCTACCTAAGGTTTAGCTCCTGTGTGGATGGTTGCTTTTAACAAAATGTTTAATGCAGTTAAACACTTGAAATATGGAGAATAAATTAATGAAAATTAGCAATAATGTCTAGAAATAATCWAGTGCTATTAAGGATGTAGTTTTGTGTTTGGTTTAAGACAGTTCATCTGTTTAAGCCTTTCTTGAGGGTTAGTGGTCGTTCTCTGCATGGGAGCGCCTTGAATTGYCCTTCCAGCAGGAATCTGCAGGGTCAAGTACAGGCAGCCTCAGTGAGGGACTTAACTCTCACACTGTCTCAGTTGCTTAGCCAAGCAAAACCAAARCAAGACTTGTGCAATACCTCCTTTTGAAGACTTTCTCTGATACCTGTTTCTTCTCTTCCTTTTATCCTCTTTTCCCAAATGTGAAACAAATGTGGGCAGGGGTGTGTGCAATGAATTGGCCTTTTAGCTTTTTTCAAGGGCAGAAGASGTGAGAGAATAGTTCTGTTTGTTTGTTTGGGGGGGGGGGRGGGGGGGGAAGGGAGGAATGTTATTTTATTTGTTGCTACTTCTGGCACCTAGGTAGCACCTGCACCTTTATTTAGCCAACTTACTGTGTCAAGTCAACCTGCAGACAGAATGTATTTGTATTCATCCCTATYCATCACGGCTGCCTTTTCATTTCCACTGCCTGCCTTTTAGTCTTACCTGTTTTCCCAGTGCAGTTTAAAAGTGTATTAGTATCTCAACATTATTTCTCCCCAAAAGACTCTTTTTGCACCAGGAGTTCTGGTATATAAGGTGAGCACATGCAAAGTGCAGTGTTTCTATGTGACAGAAGTAGTTCAGTTGGTTATTTGCATCCCTGCATTGTATCAGTACAAGGTGCAAATATCATACGCAGTCTCTACACATGATATTTTGAAGTACTTATCTCTGCAACCTAAAAGATGATCTCCTAGCTGTTCCTATAACTACTTTATTATTTTTTTAGTAGCTACTTCCTGGGCAATAAATCAATGCAAGTCTTTGGGTTTTTCCAGTTAATTTGCATCTTATGGGTAGTGAAGTCTAGGACTGGCTAAGAACTCATTCTGAAATATGGTACTATCATATCTGCACTGAAAGTGAAGGGTCAGGGGCTTTGGAATGCTTAASATTGCAGCTAATATATTAAACGCTAACGTATTAAGTGTTTTACAGCCTTGAATTGTTGTATCTGACCTCTGTGCTGACACGTGTGCCACTAAGTACACTGTGGATGTAATAAATGCTGGAATAGATTGAAAGGGCAACTTTATCCTTGCCAGAATCTTTGCGCTCAACATTCAGACTAAAAGAAGTGCTGACTTTCTCATGAAATGTGGACTAATGCAAGAAATCTCAATTGCTCTTTCATGTTAGGGGCTCAGCTGTAGGGAAGATAGAASAAATGAGATTTTTCTAAAACATTTATTGCACATCTATACCTGTTTTTCTTAGCCTGATAATACCAAGCCATTTTGAAACCATCACTTAAAGTATCTAAGACACAAGGTGAAGAAAACTTTGCTTTACATCCTCCACGGTAAGATGCAACACCTAAATCCAGCACCAAACTCTTAGCTTGTGTGTGTAGGCACCCTTGTGTTGCTGGAGAAAATACATATGAAGATTTTCAGCTCCTTGTGAGAATGGTCAATAGGGAAAGTTAAACTGAAATGGGTCACAGTGAGATTCTGCTGCTAATCCATGTACTATTCTTGCGTAAATCTGTTGTCACGTGCCCAAGGCTGCACAGGATCTAGCCAACTGCCATCGTCCTCATCTAGAAGACTGTACGTAGCACTTACTAGTCCTAGATTAACTTATAATCTGTTCTTAAATTGCCTAAAATGTAAACCCATCAATCTTTTAATGAGGTAAAAGGTTAAGTAGAATATTAGGAGCTTTGAGCATGTAACAAGCCTATGTTAGGAAAAAGTAGCTTTCCACCTGTAAGTCTGCTGGATATTCATATTTGAAGTTTACTTTTCAATAGGTAGCATGTAGTAGTATAGAACATAGTGCAAGGATTAAATTATATATTAGTGTAAAATATTTGTGATTTAAAGGTCTGGGATTTTGGATTTGATGCTAGAACCTGCTCAGTTGTTCACCCACTTCYGGTGTTTAGAGCCTGAAGTAGTTGTTTACTGCTCTTACACTGCAAATTTCAGTCTTTCTGAAATTATCCAAGAAAATAAAGAGGATTAAAAGGGGAACTTGCATCTCTTTTTTTTTAATTAAGGGAGGGAGGGGAGGGGAGGGGTGAGGAAAGGCAAGTAGACCTTGGGACCTTTGATTGGGATTTCAGAAACTGGAATAGCTCCTTGTGTGTAATTAAAGATGGCATTTGATAACTTCCTCCTGCTTCCTGACACATAAGAGTCCACATACTGTCTTAAGTGTGACTACAACCTTAATTTTGTTCTGCTGAACTTAAGTTTCTTCACACTCTGAAGTAGCATTATGCCTSCTAGAAATAAAGTATGGAAGGTGCTACCCCTTATTATAGTTTTTATGTTATGAAAACTTTCAGGCCACGATTGTTATAAAATGTCTGATGGAGCCCACTGACCCTTTCAGAACACTTCCATTGGATAGTTTCAGCATATGTATAAATCTGGATTCATGGATCTATTAGCAATGACTGCAGTACAGGGGTAACCAGTAACGACTCTAGAAAGCGGAGGTACTAGCAATAGCTTAGTTACAGCAACTCTAAATAAACATAGTTTGCACAACCCAACCCAACTCATCTGGACAAGCATTTTGTTGATTAGCCTGTACTGACCTCCATGCGAACGGCGAAGTAGCTGAGTTACTGGTGGTACTTCGTCACCTGTGCACTTCCCAAAGCAGCTGCAGCAATCTAGACACTTATGAAGCCTCGTAGTTTCTCTAGGAACGTGAGTAAAAATGCAAAATGGTAGTTTTAGTTTTTCACTAAGCACAAACCTAGTAAGAACTCCGCTGTCTTGCAGTACCTCACAAAGCAAGTGGATCTCTTGCGTCAGATGAATGATCAGCATGCAAAGGTATACGAACAGCTGGATGTCACTGCAAGAGAACTGGAGGACACAAATCAAAAACTAGTTGCAGAGAGCAAAGCATCACAACAAAAGATACTAAGGTAAGGAACTTCAGTTACACTTCCTTTCCTGCCTCAATGTTCACCTTTAAGGTTATGAAAATGAACAGCCTGAGTGAATTTGTGTAGTTACTGGATGACTGTCTGTCCACTACGCTGTTCTATTACACTTTTCAATTAAAAGGATGGTGGTGTTTAAAGGTATTTTGTGGCCAAAGARTAGCCTTCTGAGAAGCAACCACAGTATAAGTGGATAGCAACTTATCTCATCCTCTTGAGTAAACACCAAAGTGTTTTGACAGTACTGTCCTTCRCTTTTAGCTTGACAGAGACAATTGAAAGTCTACAAACACACATAGATGACCTGCAAAGACAAGTAGAAGAACTTAAGAAGTCTGGACGAGCCCGGACGAGCCATGAGAGATCGGACCAGCCAAGATCAATGCATAGTTTCTCATGTTTGAAGGAGCTCTATGACCTTCGCCAGTAAGACTGTCTTACCTTGCATAGTAAAGCAAATGATAAACTTATCTTAAGCAGAGTTTAAAAACAGGACATGCAAACGCAGATGTAAAACAAGCTAGCAGAAAAACATCAGTGTCCCTGATTAGCAAAATATCTGCACAGTCCTGCACTGTGTGGGGTTGATATTGATAGAGACTGTATCAGTCTGCATGTAAATGGAACCTGCTATTCCTCTCCTTGTTTTGGAATATATTCCCCCTCAGAGCCTGCAGCTATACCAAGCTGTAGCCCAGAAAACTTACAGGGATCTAAAACTCCCCCTACTCTTGCATTGCCTCACATAAAAAGCACAAAAATAGTTAAGAAAATAAACATTCAAAGTGTAAGGTCTTTTCTGTAAACCTGCCCTTTCCTTCAATATCTGTGCACATCTCCTTTTTGAGTAAGGTGGGATTCCTGCAATAACTTACCTGAAATTCAGCTGATAAAATAGTGTCTGGATCCTTTGATTTTCCTTATCTACAGCAGTTCTATGTACCTAAATTTTGTTAGTGTGACCATCAGGATGATCACTTTGAGTGAAACTCAGCATTAGACCTCAAAGATSATCAGTTAGAACAGGTTTTGTGTCAGGACTTCCAGCATTGCATGAAGGTAGGAATGAAGAAGGAATAATCTGTACATCCAAAAAAGGTGTTATCATAATCCTGAGGCTAAATAGCTTCCTTCGGGCTGCCAACGGTTTGTGGAAATGCCAACCACCAGGATGTAACTTGCCAATTTTGAAGCTCGTTTCCACTATCAGTAGTGACAATAGTTTTACGAATGGAGAGCTGTGGCATATTGCATGGCACACTGAGGCAATAGGTTATGCACCAGTGAAGAAATAGCCTAGATTCAATCTTAAACTTAATTACTGAATAAGTAGACCTATTCAGCTTATCTGTAACTTAAAATCTGTTAAAAAGCTGTTATTTGGCCTGAGTCGAGAGGCCAGATTAGATGGCATAAAATGCATTTACAAGCTATGCTGATTATTGAATAGCTAGCTTATTAAAAAGACCACTACATGTATTCAGAGGTATTTTAGCTAACAGTTTAAGTCTGTCAGTTGTTACCTAGAGCAGAAAAAAAAATGTAGGCGGTGCAAGAAAGCTGTATTTCCTAACATTCAACAACTTGTTTGTTTCTGCAGGTATTTTGTTTATGATCATGTGTTTGCAGAAAAAATTACTTCAATGGATAATCAGCTAAGCCCTCTAGAAGAAGAAAATGAGAGTTTAAAAAAAGCAGTGACAGTTTTGCAAGCCCAACTCAGCCTAGAGAAAGAGAAGAGGGTAACAATGGAAGAGGAATACAGTCTCGTGGTAAAAGAAAACTGTGACCTTGAACAGAGGCTAGTTGACATAGACTTATATCGGGCTCGTGCAGAGGAGCTGGAAGTGGAAGTTGCTGAAATGCGACAAATACTTCAGTCTGAAAACACCTTCCATAATGCAGAGAAATTGGTGCCAGAATCCTTTTTTATATCTTTCAAAGAATCCTTAGAAAGGGAGCTTGGTCAGAGCCCTGTGGATGATGGACTTCTGAGTGTCTCGGAGCTTGACAAGAAGGCCCTGAAAAGGAGCAACAGTGAAACTTTCCTGAGCAGTGCTGCAGGAGGAGACATTCTGAGGGGCCACGAGGAAACCTGTATCAGGAGAGCTGAGGCTGTGAAGCAGCGAGGCATCTCTGTACTCAATGAAGTTGATGCCCAGTATAATGCTCTGAAGGTGAAATATGAGGAACTTTTGAAGAGGTGTCAGCTGGACGAAGACTCTGTGAAACACAAGGCTGTGCAAACACTGAAGCAGTATTCCAAAGACCTTAACGTGGCGAACACCCAGTACGATCTTGCCGCTAGCAATCAAGAAGTTACCAGTGTGGAACTCAGTGACTCTCCCACAAATGCCCTTCCTGAATATAAAGCGCTCTTCAAGGAAATTTTTAGCTGTATCAAAAAAACAAAAGAAGAAATTGATGAACACAGAGCTAAGTACAAGTCTCTCTCTTCTCAGCCATAACACYGTATGTGCTGATGACCCATTCTCTGTAGATGACTAAATTTGTTATCAAAAAGGGGAGAAAAAACTTCACCAATGTCACAAGCTCCCTTATTGATTGTATTTTCGAACACTCAAACTGAATGTTTTGGTTTGTAAATATGTAGTTAATAAGCTCATTATTTAAGGGCTAGTCACTCTATACCTATGTAACAGTAGATTTAATGTTTAGCATGACCCACAAGCTAAAGATTGTAAAGCAAACCAACATCATAGCTTTATTTTCATACTAGACTTAATCTCTGGCCACAGCAGTAACTGATTATCTTATTCAGTCCACTTCAGAAAATGACAGATCTAAGAAATCTGTCCTGTTCCTCTCACAAGAAATTGGACTAAAGCTTTCAGTCACAGGTGATGCCCTTGTAAGTTGGTGTAGAAAATAAACAAAAATGGCCCCCCAGAACACTATTACAGGCAGCCTCTCCTTGATTTTTGAGTATGAAGTTAGCGGTCTAAGTCTAGCTGAGCTTGCGTTGACAGAGAGGGTGAGAGCTGGTGCAGCACCCTGTGCTGTGCCCAGGTTAAGCTGATACCACATATGCACATGCACTGAGCTCTCCCATGGGTTATTATAGATGTCTTCCTACTAAGAAAAGGATTTGATGTGAAGCTTGTGTGATTCTTTAGATATGGTTTGTTATTTAGGGCACTTTGTCTTAAGGCAAGATACTGTGAATTGATTCTGTATGTTAYCTGGGATTAATTGTTCTCTTTTGGTGGTATACCTGCAAAGTACAGTGGTGGTTTTGTGTATTTGGTAAGATAGAAAGATGGAATTTAGCTATTTAACTTTAGCAGTAGTGTTGACAGAGTAGAATAGCTTTTTAGCTTACATACCACAGACTCCAAGTGCTTAAAGGTGATAGGTAGGGTAGAGCTTTATGATGGTCTGTGCGTGGCTGCAGCTTGAGCTGCTGTAGCCCTGGCACGTGCTGTTTGGGGAAGAGGCTGCCCCGACTCTGCCAGGACAAACCCTGCTGCAACAGGGGCCTGCTATCGTTCTTCTCCTCTACTCACTAGTAATACCCTGTAGGAATTCAAATTCTGAAAAACAAAGAATGTAGAGAAGTGGTTTCTTTAAAATGGTTTAAAATATGGAAAAGAAAGGCCAGGAGATTAAGGAAGGGAGGCACCCAGAAAGGTGACATCCCTCTTACAATGGTCTCCTAACTCAATTTTGTCAGCTGTTGAGGGAAAGCGACTTACTGCTTGTCTGCTTGAGTTGCTGCAATGTACTAGACAGTTGACACGGTGTTGACAACTTCTCAGCTTTAGTTCAACTGCTGCTATTACAGTTTTGTCTGCCTTATGTACACTGTTGAGCTTTGTACAGTTGTCCTTCAGTTGCAGTATTAAGACTTCGTGTTGTGAAAATTTACCAAAACATGTATTGCATTCTAAAAATCTATTTAAAAATGGGAATTGATTCTGTGAGTGTATTATTTTCTAAGCAAATAAGTAATCCAGTCAAGCTACTAATGTGTAGGCTACTAATTATGCATTATCTATGCAGATCAGGAAAGAGTAGACTTGGTGCAGATGGCACCTTCATTATCTACAGTTGCCATCTCTCCCAGCTAGCTCAGATAGAGTTCCCATTAAATTTGTATTTTAAAAGTTACACTAAATGGGAAAGGATAGGCTCCCTGGTGTAGAAAGCTAGAGGGAACTAACTACTTTCTCCTTTTGGGGTGTTAGGATAGTTCTTGGTGTATGTTTTTCTTTCTTAAGTTTTCCAGTGYCCCCGGGTTAGGTATGGAGGCAGTGGATCCTCCTCACCTGCAGCTGGACTTCTGCCCCAGCTCRGAGCCTGCAGAGCAGGGACCCTCCATGAAAGCTGCGATCCTGGTAGTCACCAGCTCTCTATTACTATGTTTAAGAGGATGGAGATCCGAGCCTGTTGTACCAGAAGATAGGTGCATGCAATTAAAGATTGCAGAATAAATGCTGGATCTTCAGTGGCTTAATACTGTTGATGAATTTACTGCATTTTTTATGTATACAGCTTTTGCCTTTTTAAAGTATTCAAACTGTTCTCAGATTTCCTTAGAAGCACTTGATTTTCTTGTAATATAACTTGCCAGCTGTGCAATGGCTAAGTTCCAGCTTTAACACTTTTTAACACTTACCTGTATATGTCATGCACTAGAACAAGCCCAAGGTTGAGTTCCTCCCTAAACTCTGAGTGTGGCTGTGCCAGGGTGCAAGCTTTCTGTGCACAGCTGTAGAGAGCTGGGTGGCCCCTCAGCTGTGCTGGGCAAGTCCCCGCCCTGGGGCCATGGAGCAAACCAGGACAAGGGCAGCAAAGGCTGCCTGAACTTCACCCCTCCCACTTGCACTGCTGTAGCAACTGAACTGCTGTAGAGCATTAGCAAGCAAGTTAGAGGTTTAGCTGTTTAAACACTGAGTACATCTCTCACAGGAAGTGTGAAATGCTATTAAGAACAGCAGCAATCCATATTCTTTGCCAATCTTATGTAACTTAGCTACCTTAATTCCCTTATTTCAGTCAACAATTCCATTCAGCCTCTTCTGAAAATAAACAGAAGGTAGTAGAATCTATTATAGCTTCTCTCATATGATTGAAAATATACTCAGCAAAACCCATGAGCTGTGGAGTAACTCTGTCCTACAATTATTACAATATTTGATTCCTTACCGTATTATAACTGAACTTATAAAATGACAACCTTCTCAGATAAGAAAAACAATATTACTATACTTTATGCAACAGGTCCCTATTGAGATAACCATTTCTAGGCACCTCCAAAAAAATTATATAAGCAGAATAATTTAAAATAAAACAGTTTAAGAGGTGGCTTATTCTGTACTGTACCTCTACTACATCTTTCCTGAGCTGTCCTTCCATTACAAGCCTCCTTGCTGAAGGGCTAGGACAGCTTTGTTCTTCACCGATAAACAGAAGCAGTCTAGATGAAGATGTCACAGGTGACCTTCAAGATAAAATTTTATTTAGAAAATTACACAAAATAGAGGTTTCACATTGTTGCCAAGTGTGGTAACTAGAACTGGATGCCTTCCAGGCAGGGTGTTCAGTTACTTACCTTGCTGCAYCTGCATACAGTAATGATACCCCTCAAACACATCTGTACATCCAGTAGTTGTTCCATATGTTTCAAACATAATTACTTTTCCAAATAACTCACTTCACAAACAACAGGTGAGAACACTTGCTATGTAGTACAGAGTTTAGAGAGCAATATTTGTTCCCCCCACCCTCCTGTCCCCTGTCCCGGCATTTTTCACGAACATTACTATTTTCTCTTTATAAAGTTCGGAGCAAGGTCTGTTGTACCGCTCAGACTAAAGTACGAGCATCTAGATATTTAACAGAAACTGGGATGTTTGTAAACAATTTTAATTTATTGGCATTACTTACAAAATAAAATATTAGACCATGATTTTTCCATCACGTCTGTGTCAGTATATGGTTTTATTTCATTATAACGAAACAGAAGAAGCAAAATACATCAGGAATCCCAGACTAATCAAACTGCAGCCAGGGTCCCGTGTTGTCTTCCTCGTTGCTCTCTGCACTTAGGTGGCCATGCAAACACATGTGGGAGTATGTTGAGATGTCAATGACTTGTCTTGCCGCAGCGCCCGTGGGACCCCGGCAGGTCTCATCCTGCCCCGCGCTCCCCGAAGCCCAGGCATTACTCTATGCTGCCCACCGCAGATTTCCTCTTTTGTCCTGGAGATAATTTGAAGTAAAGCCAGTCCTACCACTGTTGTCAAGACTGCACGGTCCCCTTAAGATACCACATGCCACCGTAGCTTACGCAGCAGTCCTGGGGAGGAAGAGAGATGTCAACAGAGTGCCCCAACCACAGCCACTGACCGGGCTACCCTCGAAACCCAGGAACACCAAACAACCACAGTGCAGCACATGGTCCATTTACACTATGGATCTGGTCTCTTACTCTTTTCGCATTTATGTATTTTATATATGTGCATCTGAGCAAAGACATAGGCCAGATCCTTTTTATGTTTGGTGTATGTGTGCATATACATTTCTACACGTACACACTGGAGAGTCACAGTCCTGCATATGTTATACCTGAGTCACACTGTTCACCTGGGTTAGTCAGACCATTTGGACCATGGGCCAGAAACCCACAACCAAACGGGAAGCACTTCCAGGCCCACACTGKAAGAGGAGACCTGTGTGTCCTAGGAACGATGATTTGGTTTTGTGACAATATATGTGATTAATAAGAAAGGCCCTTCCCTTGTACAAGGGAGCACAAATCCAATCCCTGCCCTGCAAAGAGCGAATTCAGGTGACAGACACCAGGCAGCAAGGTCAGGAGGCTCCCAAGGATGATAAACAGCGTGATGGCAGCAAGGCCCAGGCTTTCCCCCCAGGGCAGAAAATGATTTGGCAAAGGTTGAGAGAAGAGCTGAGGGCAAAGGGCAGGGAGAAGCCAACACGGCTGGAGCTCAGGGCAAGAGACAGAGGAGGAAGAGGGCAAGGAGTGGAGCCCAAAGCCAGTCACCAGCAGCATTTTCGGCAGCAGTCTGCACTAATGAATCACCAAACCCCAGAGCTGCACTGGGGTGTTGTGACCACACCGTTGCTAAGTTCACAGCGCTGAGCACTGCAGCTGAGCACAGGTAAGTGGCTTTTCTGGCAGTTTGTTTCCTTATTCCTATTAAATGAGCACTGTTCTCCTGGACGCTAAGCTAATAGCTTCCTTTTCTTTTGTTCCTGCTCCCCACTTGGGCAGTCCAACACAGCTAGGGTGCTGCTGCCGACCTGATGCTGCCAACCTTACAGAGCAAAGGTTTTTTCCCGCCTCTGGAGGCTTGGGACTCGCACCTCCCAGAAGCCACACGCTCTGCAAATACTTGTCCCTGAAGGAATCAAGTGCACAGGCTAGAAAGGGGGGCTGCAATCCCAATCAGTGATGCAAGAATACAAATGCTGAYAATCTGTTCCTCTATGTGTAAAAAAGGCCATATACTGATGAGGCAATATGTCAATAACTAGAATTTCAGACAGGTATTTAACCTCTCATGCTTAAAAGAAGCCAGGTAATTTTTCTCTTTTGTTAAATCATATTTTTTAATATTTATTTCAGAATTAAAGATTTCTTTCATAAATTTCTGTGACACGCATATTGAAGCAAAGAATTCTGACAGAAGCCAAAGCCTGGTTGAATGATGACTTACATTCATAAAAACTATCTATATTTAAAACTTTTTTTTTTTCCAGAAATTAAATCTACATCTACTATCTACATCTACTCAATCTACATAAAAACTAATGCAAATACATTGTTCTGATATTCTAGGACAGCTGCTATTTGTGCTCATCTAGTCACTTGACAAACCTSCTGGCACAAGGAAGCCACATGAAAGAAATCCCATCCAACAAGCAGAAAAATGAAATTATTTTACTAGGAAAAAGGCCAGACTCTTTCAAGCAGACCAGTTTGCTTATCTTCACAGCAAGATCTATAATTTCCCAAATATGCCATTATTCAGTTTACAGAACCCACCATTAATAGTACTTAATCACTTCTTTTAATGAGGTAGGTGATGATAAGCAAAAGTATTGTATTAGTTGGCAGATTCCTTCTTAATCACCTTGTGCACTGCATTAAAGCCTGTCATTCAACAGCCTGCATAGTTCACGCTTCGTACTCATACTCCTTTGGAAAGTAAATGGTTATTTTCAAGGATAGAGATAAAGGACTCAAACCGAGATCACCATGAAATGTGTTACCTAGTACTTTAYCAGCTTGGTTTGGTTAGGCTTTTGCTACCTACATTACTGTAAGACTAACTACAAAATAGAACACATTTCCACCTGAATATGTGGAACTTCTGCTCTTCATTAGCCATCTGCAGTCAGATGGTAAACTTAAATATTGTGCAGAACACTCCTACCTGCTTAACTCCACACTATTTAAAGTACGTAATTTACCACACTGGTGACATTAAGAAATGCTGATCTAAGTTAAGTTAAGTTAAGAAGTTAAGAAATAATTCTAATTACAAGAAATTAAGAAATAATTCTAATTACACAAAATAACATCATAGTCAAAATCATTTTTCTTTGGAGGGGAAAAACATAGAATGACACAAGGGTGTTTTAAGGAAAACGGGATGAAAAAAAGGCTCTGTCCACATTCCAGCAGCAACTATGCTAGCATGAGTATCTCTTGTCAGTTCAAAGTAAAATTATACAATCCTTTGGTCAAACCATGGCATTAAAAATTCATGCATCAATTGGATTAAAACCACAAGTGAATAGGAACTTACCTTTAACACTCTATCCACCTCCTGCTTGTTTAGATCTTCTCCACATTCTTGACTCAATTGATTCTGGATAACATTCCTGCGCACTCGATAATTTTTTGAAAAGATTTCAAGCAAAACTTGGCGATGCTTTAAAAGAAAAATAATACATGAAAAGATAAAAATAATTGTTTTTTCATTGTGAACCAAAACTGCACGCACCATAGTCCACACAATGCATTTAATGAACTGAACCAAAGTAATCCTTTTGTAATCCTGAAACTGTCCTATTAAAGCAGCTCTCTACTGCCTTTTTGCCCAAAGGGCTCTACAGGGATCAATCTGCACCTCCTGTTGACCGGGGACACCTCTGGGGATACAAGCAAGGCGGGAGAAGGGGCTGCAATGTATTTTCCCTCAAATGTTTCTATGAGAGTCTATGTGGTCCACTCCAGACAGGCAGCTGGATATCACTTCTGTCTTTATCAGCACATTAGAATGTGTTAGTTTTTCCTATAAAACAAAAYCATTTAAATCAAAGACACAGAAGTTATATTTTCTAACCATACTTTGTTAGGATCCCTTCGCTCCATTTACTCATAACATCAGCTAAAAACTCATGAGATAACAGCTGCCCATAATTACTTCCTATTCTAAATATAAAGAAAAAACAGACACTTCAGGTACCACCATCATTTAATCAATGATTAATACTTTGTTATCATCAGAAAGAACAAAACTGGACTGGATCCCAGTGTACAGCCTCCATTAGGGAATCTAYTCTCTTCACACATTTTAAATTACTTGCACTCCCTCAAGTTAGTTACCAGCATTTATTGCTGTTTCTGCCTCCACACCGTCCTGTCTTGACACAGCAGTGAACACCCTGCAAATTCAGCCCTTGCTCTCRCCCGGGGATAGGTGGGTGTTAAAAACTGGGGACTGCCATGGAGAAAACGGAAAACTACCGGCTCCATCCCTCCCAGAAACACAAATGCAAACAGCGCAAATACTCAACATCCATATGTTCAGGACTGTCACTTATTTTTATCTGTACCTGATCGTATGTGTCACCAGCTTCCCAAAGTGCATAAACCTTTAGCTCGTCTGGTGAAGCAGCAGTCTGTGGAGGAAACTGAGAACAAGAGGCTGTTAAAAATAACAATTTAATGAGTTCTGCTTAATGATTCCATGATAGAGTATCCCTGGACACCTATTACTGAATCAAAAGTGTCATGACCATGTAATGAGAACTGCTGGAAAAACATAAGCTCCATTCCCCATTCAAAGGGACATTTTGTTCTGGTAGCCCCTGTGCCCGTCGAGGCCTGGACACTGTGGACTGACACCTCCTCCTACACCCCGATGGCTTCAAACAAACCATGACCCCCAGCAAATCTGTCCCACCAGGTGATCTTGGAGCGCACAGGTCTGAGGTACCAAACAGGTAGCAATGGCCTCGGGAACRGGACGAGTGCTCCAGCATCCCCATGACTTTGGTGGGCCAGAGCCACAGCCACCGGGCGCTGGAGCCGTCCCAGGTCTGGATCTTAACCACATTTCCAGGACAAGAGGTCTATGGTTTTCTTATCAACAGCATTTGCTTTCAGACCACCAGCTGCCCAAAGCAGAGTTCA